TCACTGCAATCTCTGCCTCCTGGGTTCAAGCAATTCTCCTGCATCAGCCTCCTGAGTAGCTGGGATTACAGGCACCTGCCCCACGCCTGGCTAATTTTTGTATTTGAGCTCCTGACCTCAGGTGATCCACCCGCCTCGGCCTCCCAAACTGCTAGGATTACAGGAGTGAGCCACTGCAACTAGCCATGCAGGTTCTTTTTTAAAGCTTCTGGGGGTGACCCTGATGTGTGCGCATAAGGTTGCAGGACTAGAGTGAAGTTCCTGTCACCTCCTTTCCCCTCCTCTGTGACAACCCAGTCATTCCGCTCCTCCACCTCAAACCCACCCCAAGAAAAAACTAGATTGAGTACATGATGCTCTACGCTTCGGAGACCCCCACTACGTGCTAAGAAACACTCAGTGCATACATTCCGTAATTCCACCCCAAGAGGCATGTGCTACTGTTTTTATTATTCCGGCTTTGCGGGGGAGTAAACGGCAACTCCAAAAGTTGATACAGCCCACCCAGCATGGAGAGGCAGGGTCAGAACACACAGGCACATCTCCCAGAGCCCCCCAACGCTCCATCAAGGCAGGACCGCAGCATCCCACGAGGAGAACAAGTTTGTGAACTTGGCATTTGCCTCACTAACACCTAGCAACCGTGTGAAGAGGCTTAGCTGGGGATCCGCTGCCTCTGTTCATCAAGCCTGTCTTCCACCGCCCACCTCTCAGCCCCTAGCAACCCCCGTTCCCCAGGAAAAATAAAGTGCCACCCACGTCGCTCAATATCACCGTCCCAAAAACTCCCACTTCAGTTCCTGAAAAATTCAGTCACCGACAGGAGACTTTCTCCTTCCTGAAGCATTCTCCTTGGCACCCTATATCCTAGAAATAAACCTCAAAAAGTATTCCGAACTCCCGTCTCCGTCAGCTCACTGTTCCCGAGGGGTTCTGCCCGGTGCCCAGTTCTAGAGCAAACGATTAACATCGCCCCCAAAAGTAGAGAGGTGAGTCCTCTCCAAACTCCTTTTAACTGGATCCAACCTGAGACACCCCCTCACCCCGTTTTCCTCCTGATTAGATGATAGCTGGCAAAACACCTGGGACCTTACCCCCCTTCTCACCATCCCACCCTAACTTCCTCCTCCCTGAAACCCCTCCAGCCCACACACACGCAAGCTCCCAATTTCCCCTGATAGCCCCGACGTCCCTTCTGGAACGAGCCTGACCCCACCTGTATGCTCACCCCAACTTTGTCCTTCTGCCCCGTTGCAGCTAACCCTAACCCCTGGGCCATCAATCAACGCCCCCACCCCATCTCCACCGGCCACATTCCTCAGTCCTCTCCCCAGACAACCTCTGCCTCTAATTCCCTCTGCAGCCCCTTCTCCAACAACCCCACTTCAAACTCCATCTCCAGCCCCCTCCCCAGCTCCCTGCAACCCTCAACCCCACTGCCAGTTCCCTCTTCAAATAAGCTGCACCCTTGACTCCACCCGTTTCCCTCTCCAGACCCTCCCCAACTAACTCAGATCTCCAGTTCTTACAATTCCAGCCCCCTCCCCAGCTAACTCGTACCTCCAATCCCACCCCAAGACCCCTCCCCGGCTAACCTCGACCTGAGACTCTAGCCCCCTCCCCAGCAAACTCAAGACCTCCAATTCCATCCCAGCTCATCTCTAGTTAACCTGGACCTGCAACTCCAGCCGCCTCCCCAGCTAACTCAGATCTCCTAACGCACCTCTAGCACCCCCTCAGCTAACCTTAACCTGCCACTCCAGCCCCCTCCCCAGACCTCCAAAATCACTCCCAGCCCCCTCCTCAGCTAACTCAGACCTCCGATCCCACCTCCAGCCCCCACCAGCTAACCTGGACCTGCAAGTCCGGCCCCCTCCCCAGCTAGCCCTGATCCCCAAGTGCAATCTCAATCCCCAGCCCAGCCTCTCCCAAGCTAACCTCAACCCCCAAGCGCAGCCCCGTCCCCAATTCCAGCCGCAACCTCCAAGTGAAGCGCGGGTCCCCAGCCCCTCCTCAGCGGACCCCGACCCCCAACTCGGTCCGCAGCCAAATCAGAGCCGTCCCAGTCCCTCCTCCCGGACGCCGGACGCGCCCTCAGCTCCCTTGCCACGGATCGCGTGAGCTCCTTACCTGCGCTCGGGCCCCGCGGCCGCCTCTGCCCCGCCGCGCAGCCGAACCCGCAGCGCCGGCCCGCGAGCACTCGCTCCCCTCTGCGGGGGCGGGGCCGACACTCGGGGGGCGGGCCCTGGCGTCCTGGCACGACCAATCGCGAGCCCCTGCGGCGGGAGGCCGGAGCGGGGGCGGGGCGTGGGGCAGGCAGCGGGGTAGGCTGCGCCCAGGCGAGCGGGGCGGGGCTCCGGGCACGGGCGGGGCCGAGTGCGGGGCGTGGAGCGCCTTTCCAGGGGTGACTTCGTGACGTCAGGGAGGCGCGAGGCGTTTCGCGAGTTCGAATCCCGCGTTCGGGAAGCGGGTGCGACTCCTGCATGCCAGCTCCGGGGTCTCATTCGTGGGGGAAGAATGACAGTGATCATCACTGCTGCGCCGCTTTCTTGAAGACTTTATAGACTCCCTTGCGTGGAACCCCTGCGTAAAGCCAGAAGGCACGATTATTACTATCCCGGTTTTACAGAGGTAGAAACTGGGCCTCAGCGAGGTGAGACCTAAGGGCGTTTGCCCAAGCCCGTCTTATCATTTACAAGGTTTTTCAGTTTCTGAACTCATAGGCCTGGATCTTAAAATACACATTCTTGGGCCCCAACCCAGATGGAATGAACAAGAATCCTGTAGGGAACTGGACCCTGGAATCAGCGTTTTGTTTTGTTTTTGAGACAGGGTCTCGCTCAATTGCCAGGATGGAGTGCAGTGGTGCAACCACAGCTCACTGCAGCTTTGAACTCCCAGGCTCAAGCAGTCCTTCCGCCTCAGCCTCCCGGGTAGGTGGGGCCACAGGCACACACCACCAAACCCAGCTAACATTTTTTTTGAGATGGAGACTTGCTCTGTCTCCCACGCTGGAGTGCAGTGGCATGATCTTAGCTCACTGCAACCTCCATCTCCCAAGTTCAAGTGATTCTTCTGCCTCAGCCTCCCGAGTAGCTGGGACTACAAGTGCCCGCCACCACACCCAGCTAATTTTTGTATTATTAGTAGAGACTAATCACCTCAGGTGATCCACTGACCTCAGCCCCCAAAGGGCTGGGATTACAGGTGTGAACCACTGTGCCCAGCCCTGGCTAATTTTTTTTTTTTTTTAAGAGATGGTGTCTGGCCAGGTGCAGTGGCTCACGCCTGTAATCCCAGCACTTTGGGAGGCTGAGTCAGGTGGATCATTTGCAGTTAGGAGTTCAAGACCAGCCTGACCAACATGGTGAAACCCTGTCTCTACTAAAAATATAAATTAGCCAGTCGTGGTGGCACATGCCTGCAGACCGAGATACTCAGGAGACTGAGGCAGGAGAATTGCTTGAACCAGGGAGAAAAAGGTTGCAGTGACCAGAAATCGCGCCACTGCACTCCGGCCTGGGAGACAGAGCCACACTCCATCTTAAAAAAAAAAAAAAAAAGAGAGAGAAAGAGAGAGAGAGAGACAGGGTCTTGCTATGTTGCCCAGGCTGGTCTTGAACTCCTGACCTCAGGTGATCCACCTGCCTCGGCCTCACAAAGTGCTAAGATTACAGGTGTGAGCCACCATGCCCCCATCCTGGCTAATTTTTTTTTTAGAGATGGGGTCTTGTTATGTTGCCCAGGCTGGTCTTGAATTCCTGGGCTCAAGTGATCCTCCCGCCTCTACCTCCCAAAACGCTAGGTTCACAGGCCTGGAATCTGCATTTTTCACAAGCTCCCTTGGGGATATTGGGAAACACTTGCTACATCTCCAAAAGCGACACACAGCCCTGGAAGGAAGATGGAGCCACCATATTCGGTGACCTCAGGGACTCTGTCCAGTGCTGACACTGTGTGTCCTCACCGCCCCACCTGGGCCCTGTGATTGGAGCTGCTGCCCGGGATCCAAGGTAAACTTCCCCAGGGCTTCTGTCATCCCTGCAGGAACCTCCCTGCTCAACCTCTGGACTCCAGTGGACTGCCCTGCAGGGCACAGAGAAACCTCCATCTCCCAGCCTGCTCTCCCCCAGGCTCTCCCCAGCCGACATCCCCCAAGAGAAATGGCTGTCTAAATAGAGCTTGAGAAGGGCACAGTGGCTCACGACTGTATTCCCAGCACTTTGGGAGGCTGAACCAAGAGGATTGCTTGAGCCCAGGAGTTCAAGACCAGCTGGGCAACATAATGTGACCCCCAACTCTACAAAAAAAATGTAAAATATAGGCCGGGTGTGGTGGCTCATGCCTGTAATCCCAGCACTTTGGGAGGCCGAGATGGGCGGATCACAAGGTCAGAAGATCGAGACCATCCTGGTCAACATGGTGAAACCCTGCTTCTACTAAAAATATTAAAAAATTAGCTGAGTGTGCTGGTACAGGTCTGTAGTCCCAGGTACTTAGGAGGCTGAGGCAGGAGAATCTCTTGAACCTGAGAGGCAGAGGTTGTAGTGAGCTAAGATCGCACCACTGCACTCCAGGCTGGCGACAGAGTAAGACTCCATCTCAAAACAAAAAGGATTAGCCAGGTTTGGTGGCATACATCTGTGGTCCCAGCTACTTGGGAAGCCAAGGCAGGAAGATGGCTTGAGCCTGGGAGGCTGAGGCTACAAAAAGCTATGATTGAGCCACTGCACTCCAGCCTGGGCGACAGAGTGAGACCCCGTTTCAAAAAAAAAATGTGTTATGCTGGGTGCGGTGGCTCATGCCTGTAATCCCAGCACTTTGGGAGGCTGAGGTGGGTGGATCACCTGAGGTCAGGAGTTCGAGACCAGCCTGACCAATATGGTGAAACCCCATCTTTAAAATAAATAAATAAATAATTTTAAAAAATGTGTTATATACACAAGGGAATGTTATTCAGCCATAACAAAGAATGAAATCCTGTCATTTGCAGCAAAATGGATGGATGGGACTAGAGGTCATCATGTTAAGTGAAAAAGTGAAATAAGGGCTGGGCACAGTGGCTCATGCCTGTAACCCCAGCATTTTGGGAGGCCGAGGCAGGTGGATCACCTGAGGTCAGGGGTTCAAGACCAGCCTGACCAACATCATGAAACCCTGTCTCCACTAAAAACACAAAAATTAGCCAGGCATGGTGGCGCATATCTGTAGTCCCAGCTGCTTGGGAGGCTGAGGCAGGGGAAGGCCTTGAACCCAGGAGGTGGAGGTTGCAGTGAACTGAGATAGTGCCATTATACTCCAGCCTGGGCAATAGAGCAAGACTCCGACTCAAAAAAAAAAAAAAA